TGTTAACCTTTTAAAATCAACAAAACAGGCAATCGGAACTTTCAGGTTAACATTTTTACTCGAATAAAATAGAAATGATCGGAAAATTGAAGAATAGTATATTGTTGATCTTAAGTTACTAAATAGCGTAACTAACTTCCAATTGTCAAGAAAAAATACTTTTTAGGGGGTTTAAAGGGTGCGTGATTCATTTCTTTCCCAAAAATTTTAATCTAACAAATTTTAACATTCATATATCCTCCATAAGTGTAATAATTTTGTCATTTCGTTTGCAATACCTGTAAATGTTTAGGAGAAGCCATAAAGTGCTATATACATATTTGATATGGTACTGCCTCATTTTCTACGCCGAAAATTTTAAATATTGGTCAATGTGGTCCTCCTACAATGGTCAAGTTCCTGTTTAGGTATTTTAATATACTCAAGCGCATTTCCAAATGAATTTGGCTTTTCGGGGTCATGTTTTTTATGTATACACACTGGTGGCCAAAACTAAAACAATTAAAATTGCAGAGTTAATAAATGCCGTATAACTTTTTCAAAAATATCGTGTTGGTTTTTTCAGTTTCAAATCGGATACTTTATTCACATCTAAGAAAACAAAAGCATTAATGCAATATTCATTATGAAATAAATAATAATTTTTAGATAAGAGAATTGTTTCAAATTTAGTTTCAACAAAACTAAAGCAACTCTACAGTACAATAGATACTTGCAATGAAAATATAGGGAACATACCAAAATGTGGATTTATACCGATAATTCTACAAACCGATTTATGTAAGCCATTATGTACACCAATTACAAATTTCAGTAATTTTTAATGGGAATTTTTTTTCTAAAATCTGAAAACCTTAAAACGTGGCCTGATACTGATATCGCATGGTAGAGTATGAAATCCTCAAACTACTGCAATTTAAATTGCAAAGTTATATGAGGCTGTACCTAAAGGGGGGCCAACATTGATAAAATGGTGTAAAAATAAGCGACTGTTTGGCGTTATCATTATAAGAGGGCTATGCCTAATTAATGACCGATATATGTCAATTTTGAACCCAATATTTTAGTTTTGCATCTCAATTCCTTCCTTCAGGGGGTATCATTATATGGCGGATATGCCTAAATGTTGGCCGATATATTTCATTAACGTCAGGTTAGAGTTTTTATCACGATACCCTTAGAAGGCGAAATGATTACAAAAGATGGTTAAGTCGTCTTAGAATTTCATACTTTGTATAAACTGACAATTTCGAGTATCGACTAATCCCCATACTCTGGTAGAATACGCCTATACGGGAACAACCCCATCACACGGAACAAATCAGGTAACAATTTTAGTATAATTTTAATAATTTTTGGTATGGAGATTTGTTACCATATGTGACTACAAAATACCAATTTACAGCTAATTCGGTTGAAAAAAGTGCTCAAGAACCCCGAAATACCGAAAATTGGGGTATCCTTATATAGGGGCTACCCAAAAAATGGACCTATATTTATAATTTTTAGTGGAGGAATTTGGTACCCACTGTACCAAATTTCAGCGAATTTGGTTAAAAAACGCGCTTAAAACCCCCAAAATACCGTAACGAGTAACGTTATATGGGGGCTACCAGAATAGTGGACTGATATTTATAATTATACTCTTTACCACACTGTGGTACAATATGTTTGTAACAGACAAAAATAATCGCGATAAACCCATGGTTCCTTTTGAGAATATGCATAGAATCACTTTTTGAGTCGATTTATACATGTCGGTCTGTAAATTGTAAACAAAGTGCAGGTCGTATGTATTATCCGAATTGGATGAAATTTAACACAGCTCTTTTATTTGGCCCAAGGACGAACCCTATTGAAATTGGGAAAAATCGATTCACATTTAGATATAGCTCCCATATATATTTTCGTCCGATTTTATGTAAATGCTGCACCAAAGTCCCGATATATTTTCCGATTGGCACGAAATTTGGCACAGCATACGGAATTAGGTCTAGAATGATGTGCGAAGTTTCGTAAAAATCGGTTCAGATGTAGATATAACTTCCATATATATTTTCGTCCGATTTAATGTAAAAGGTGGACCAAAGACCCTGCAGACAAAAAATTTGGCGGAAAGTTCTTTAATTTCTGAAAAGAATCGTGAAGCCTTTCGCAAAAGCTCATATTAAGGGGACCCCCCATTCTCGGGGTCAAAATTTTTGTTGATATAATTCGAATCTACACTGATTAAAGAATGTCTCTACAAAATTTCAAGTGAAAATCTCAAGAACTCTTGAAGATATAGCCGATTTATTGTGTCAGCATCAAGTGACGGCTGAAGGGCTTCTCAAACTTTAAACGCGTTTTTCTCTAAACATTTTTTTGCGAATGGCGGGCACGATAACTCAAAAACTAATAATCCAATCGGTTCCAAATTTTGCAACGTTTCTCTGGGAGTGTATAGCTCTCGTATGAACTAGGATAAAGCCAATCGGTGAAGATCTTCCTTATTTTTTAACTTGGTTTTTGGTAAAAAATCGGCGATTTTCCAAAAATATTTTTTCAAAGGTCCACCATTTTGTTAATTTTAGAGCGAAGTCAATAATCCTAGTTCATACGAGAGCCATACATGTACTCTTTCTAACACCGTTGGAATTTTCGGTTTCCGATGTTCCAGTGAAGAGTTATCATGCCCGCCATCAAAAATAAGGACTTTTCTTTAATTACAAAAAACAACAACAAAACAATAACAACATTTTTTTGTAAATTATTAAATTATTTTTCTTCTCTTTTAAATCTTCAATTATATATGTGCAAAGTTACAAACCTTAACAAGCATTTGTATTCATTTACCAGCCCATTGAAAATCTTGAAAAATTAAAATCGTGAATGGGGGGGGGGGGGGGGGGGTTCCCTTAATTGGAATTCGACTCAGAGTAAAGCCAGAAATTAAAGACTCATGCCACAGTAATGAAAGGGTACTGGGAATCATGGAGAAAGGTCAATAATGGTATTGGGTTGTTTTTCTTTTTATGAAGTTCGATATATTTACGAGAATTATGAAGTAATATATCGGATTGTTTATACAAATGTGTTGGAAAACGCTTCGCTGAAAGAAATATACCGCATGTTTGGGTGTTACATCTTGACAATAATCTTCAAAAATTTACCAAAACATGTCAAAGATCGGTTGCTGTCAAAGATTGGTTGCATCATAGATAGAAAAATCAAAAAGAATTCACTAACCAACAAACAAAACTTCAACTCAAACGTTCAGGATGCGAGGAATAGTACATACAAGGATCAGGCTGAACATTTTTTGATTCATTGTCTTGTAGGCAGTGTTGCCAAAACTTTGCTGATCAAAATTTATAAAAAGTGACAAATAAAAGTGCTAAAAAAATTATAGTAAGTGCTTTGCTGGCGGCAGGTGGCTTACTTAGAACATAGTAGTATCTGTTGCCAACGCTATCCTTCTCCTAATTTCAAAACTAATGTCATTAGTTTTATTATATATAAAATCTTTGACTATCTCGAAGCTGTAGTTCTCAAGTTTCACAGTTGGTCCGAGTCTACTGGACGTCTTTCGCGTTGATACCATCAGCTTGGTGTTCTTGCCGTTTACTGCCAGACCCACTTTGGCACATTCCTTCTCAATTTGTCCAAAGGTGGCTGTTACCGCTCGCAATGTTCCACCCATTATGTCGATGTCATCGGCGTAGGCGAGTAACATGTGTTTTTTTGGTGTACAGAGAGCCGTTTCTGTTCACTTTAGCCTCTCGTATGTCCCTTTCCAGCAAGATGTTAAAAAGGTTACACGACAAACTGTCACCTTGTCTGAATCCTCGAATACTTATTCTGGCAAGTGTAAATGGTGTACAAAACACTCTACGTCTTTTCAAATGCCACGAAGTTTTTCATTTATTTGAATTTTGTTTTTGTACGTGTGTGGATAAATTATCTATCGCTACAACAAAAATATGCTTTGAAAAGTACTGTTTCTAGAATGAAGACAAATATCGAACATTGAGAAATTTGAATTTAATTCGCATATTCGCAAATACAAATTATCAACATACGACCTTTGTAAAGCCACATAGCCAAATATGCCTGATGAGCCGCCTAACCAACGGCGAAACGCGTCGCATTATGGTGGGTACGTAGGTTGTTCTCCTGACTTTCCTTTTCATTGCAAAATTTAGATCATTAAGCTCGACTCGAATGAGTATAAATAACTCACTTAAAGTTTTTCACTTACTTCAGAATTAAGTATAGACTGATGTTTTTAACTGTATTGAAATTGCTTACTATAATATTGTATAATATTACCTTTCGTATATATCTAAAGTGGTGTAGGGACCGACTTTTGTATTTTTCTTACTGGTCAGATGATATTTTTAGATATTATGTACTTTTTTCTCGCTAACTATGCATCATTCGAGTACTGAATCCATGGGGAGAACAACCTCTCAATTTTATTGCATACCCCCAAGCCACTAATTTGCGGACTTAAAAAATTTTAAATTCTTAAATAAAAGAAAAACCGAGCTGTTTTATTGGCTTATGTATATGTTTAATTTCTCCAACTTAATATTAGACCGTCTTCGCTTAACAAATATTTATACCAACAAATTATGACTCGTAAATATGGTTGTGTATATGTTGCTCTAACTTTTAGTTGTTGTTTGTGTTGTGTAACTATGACGCGACACAATGTCTCGCCACAAGGTGTTGACGGAAACTAGGAAACAATTTTAACTAAGCAAAGACAAAGTTGGCAACAAAATTTTTCTTCTGTTTTTTTTTTTATTTTTTAATGTGACGACAAAGTTTCCTTCCAAGTGACAGCCGCACTTTAGAAAAAAATGTGGAGACCAAGGAGTCAACGACACTGCCAACCGACTACAAGTTTCGTTAGGAAATGCTATTTATATGTGAATGTGTGTGACTATATTTTTATGCTAAATATTTAATTAAACTACATTTGTCATTTTTAGTTATGTTTTGTTTCTTTGCAGTTAACCCTATTTACGTATCACACCGTGAATTCAGGCGATGCGACAGATCCTGTGGGTCCTGTACCCATTGATTCCCTATTCATTTACCGTCCGGATAAACGTCACGAGCTGTGGCGTTTCATGTCGTATATGTTCCTGCATGCCGGCTGGTTCCATCTGGGTTTTAATTTGCTGATACAACTGGTGTTCGGTCTACCATTGGAGATGGTACATGGCTCCGGTCGTATTGCGTGTATATATTTTTCTGGTGTTTTGGCTGGTTCATTGGGTAAGTACAGCAGTCAGTGCACACATACATATTTAATAGATATCTTTACGATAATATTTCATGGTTGGATATTAGTAATACGCATAAGATTCTATTTAAGTATTCACAATAAAGTTGTTTTGAATGGCTATGACTATTGTTGGGACATTTATTTGATCAAAATTCTTCTATTAGGAATGCAGGTAATATTAGACATTTTGTATTGTGAGGTTGTAGATCATGGAAACTATATTAAAATATTTTTTAAAAATTTAAATTAATTGCCAAAGGCCTTTGAAACGTTGATTGGGGCGTTTGTCGAGTCTAATATGAGCAGAATTCAAGTTCGATTGTGGTACAACCGATTTAAGGAAGACCGAGAAGATGTAAATCGTGGTCGTCCGAGCCGATGAAAACATTGTTCCTTTGAATCGCTATCAGAAAAGTTGCTGATGATATTAGCTATCGTTCTGCCAATGCTTAACTATTTTTACTGATGTTTTACTCAATCGTTGTGGGCAACGGTTAAGTCGATCTCGAACTCACGAAGAAAATATCATTGAACCTCTGTCTCTTTTAACGTCGTGGAGGTAACAGAGAACGAATAGAAGAATATTGTGCTGTATACTATATTGTCAGCTATAGTCAGTGTTGCCAAAACTTGATTGAGAAAAAGTGCTAGATTTTGTTGAAAAATATGCTAGAAAGTGCTAAAAATTTTAGAAAAGTGCCAGAAAAAAGTGCTAAAACTTAATATAAAGAAATTTGATTATATTTTATAATGACATCTTTATTTCTTAAAATTAAAATTAGCAGCTATTTTGTGGGGATGTTATAAGTGCTCCAACAGCTTATAACGTCTCAAAATATTGGTCCTGGACTCACATTTTAGTAAAAACTTGTCACGATATTTTGCATATCCTGTTCTGGCTAGTGAAGACACTTATTGTGTTTGGGAAAATCGGTCAATATTTGGCTGTTGAAGTCAACCAAAATTAGTTTATATGTTTTTCTGGTATCTCTAGAGGTCACAAAATTGTACATAAGGAAACGCTAATGAATAAGTATATTGAGCGATTCAAATTGACCAAGACTTTTGTCCGAAAAATACAAAATTTGTATTCTATGCCGTATACATTTATTGTAGAACGACAAAGACCAGGTGTGGGAGCTATACGTAAATATTTACAGGAGTCTACGTACTCTAATAATGTTTAGAATTACCATTATTACACTAGATGATATGTATGCAATTTTGCATAAAGTTCCGGTTATGGTGAAGTGCCACATCTATAGTTGTGTTTTTTTTTTAGATGCCACCTTTGTAACGCGAACACCGATAAAGCAATAAATACGGGAAATCTACTCAACGAAAAAGCATGGCTGCTTTAATAATGATCTGTCAAATTTTTTTAATTAAATGAACCAAGACCTTAGCAGTACAATTAAAAAAACATTCCATTACATTTTTTCTTGTCAAGAGAAGTAAAGCTGACTTTACATTTATTTAAATTATATTCGTTTATATACCCCAAATTGTTCACAGTGTTTTTATACCCTCCACCATAAGGTGGAGTCTATATTAAATTTGTCATTCCGTTTGCAACACATCGAAATATTCACGGGATACACCACTAAGTATTACATATATATTCTTAAACAGAATAAAATTCTATGTCGATTTACGCATGTCCGGCTTTATATGGTACCTGCCAATATGGAATTTTTTGATCCGTTTTTTAATTTAATTGACTGTAATTTTGTATTTTGGGTTCACATTGTATAGCACATTTCCGTACTATTTCTCACTACCAGAAATATCAATATTGATCTCTGTTTTATTATAAACCCTTAAAACGGTAGCCCCACCATTAGATGTTTGGACATTTTCAATATCTGTTTACCACCTATTTTTCGGTATGTTCAGGGTTCTATCATAACATGAATTTTCACCTAGGAGCACCCATTAATTTTAGATATTTTGATTGACATCCTCATGGTGGAGGTTAAAAAAGTTCGGCCGGGTCAAACATAAAATCATTTTTACTTTTTATGTAATGGTATTGTAGTATTATTATAACCCAGGAGGTTGATACCACGCAGAATTTTTCACCGACACGGCAATTAGTTTCGCAGAAAATTTAAGTCTTGTGGTAGTTTCGTAGGGTATCATATGGATAGCCCCGTCCGACTGTACTGCTCCGTTCATTGGAAAAAACATTGGAAATTCAAACCCACCATGTGAAACATACAGAAACTTCAATGTGCTAATGTGAAATCGAAAAACGAAAATTTTTTGGAGCAATACTAAAATTTGTAAAAAAAACTTGGAACAAATTAAAAATGCTAAAAAAAGTGCTAGGTGCTAGATCGATTTTTTTGGTGCTAAACGAGTTTAAAAAGTGCTAAATCTAGCACTAAAAGTGCTAAATTGGCAACACTGGCTATAGTATAGCCAGGAATCTTAATTATCACAGATTATCAGGCGTGGATTTTCAAGACCCAAAAAGGTGAATTTTTAAAATATTTTTAAGGCTTACAATAGAAGTGGAGTTTTAAAATACTGTTTTTTAAGTCTTAAAATAGGCGAAGATTTTTTAAATACGTTTTTAAGGCCTACAATAGGCATAGATTTTTAAATATTTTTTGAATGCCTACAAAAGGCGTAGATTTTTTAAATAATTATTTTAAGTACTTTAAAAATAATCTACGGGTATTTTTTTTTTAATTTTTTAAGGCCCACAGTAGGCGTGGATTTTTTAAAAGATTTTTTTCCAAGTTCCAAACAAGGCGTGGATTATTCTAATATTTTTTCCAAGTTCCAAACAAGGCGTGGATTATTCGAATATTTTTTTCCAAGTTCCAAAAAAGGAGTAGATTTTTGTAATAATTTTTGTAATATTTTTCCCAAGTTCCAAAAAAAGTTACTTTTTATAGAAATTTTTCCCAAAAAAAAAGCGTATATTTTATAGATATTTTTTCTAAGTCCCAAACATCGCCCCAAAACAAAATAACAACTTACTAATATTAATAAGTAATCAATGAGTGATGAAAATCCATAGATGGGAATTTTAACCAGTGAGCGGAGCAGTATAGTCGGACGGGGCCGACCATACGATACCCTACACAACTTCCATGAAAATCTAACTTTCTGTGGTTCTATATTCTGAGATTGGGCAATATTTCGCGATATTTGCACCCTTTTGACTAGCTAGATCAAAGCTAGAGGTCATCAAATGTTACTAATAATCAGTACAGTCCCTCTAATTACTTGTCCAGATTACCTTCACCGTGGTTTGTGTTGTGATGTTCGGCTTTCGACTCGAAAAGTACAAATAATTAAGTTATCGGTCCACTTCATCCGAAAAATTATTATCTGATCATCACCTAACATTTTAGGCGTTGTCCTTGACCATAACTGCAACCTCATGGAACATTTCAAAGCGATCAGCGCTATATTTCCACCCTCCAGTGTGGCAATAGGTTACTAAATAATATATGAATACGTAAGCACCTGTAAATATTTAAGTGTAATTCCCGCATCCGTGTACCTACCACAATATAATTGGTATCAATTTAAAGGTAAACCACTCCTCTTGGAAATACTATCACCTTCTTGGGGCTAAGTCATTCAGGTGTAAATATATACGCACAAAAGTTAGGGTCCATTTGACCTGCTAAACATTGACCGATCTTTATCAAAAAATGCATGCTTATTCATTGGCCCGATCCCCTTCTCCATGCAAAATGGGCCATAATTGCGGCCTCGGAAGCAACCAGAAAAACCGACAAAAATAAAGTTTTTGGTCCATTTCATCCCCTAAATATTAACCGATCTTTTCCAAAAACAATAGGGGCCTTCATTGGCCAGAACCCATCCTACATGCAAAATTTCGTGAAGATTGGTCCATAACTGTGGCCTGTAACGTGTTTACAAATTATAATGGACGGACGGACACACATGTCTAGATAGACTCAGCTAGTCGAGATATGACGATCGGTATACTTACAACATAGCTGTAGGGTATAAAAATAAATTAAAATGTTTATAAGGGTGCATAAAGGGTGTTCTGTTGTTCCTAAAACTCCAATTAAAACTTACCATATAATACCAAATATCTTTGACATTTTTACCTATATTGTTACAGGCACCAGTATCATTGATCCCGATGTGTATTTAGTTGGCGCCAGTGGTGGAGTATATGCCCTGCTAGCCGCACATTTGGCTAATGTTTTGATAAACTATCATCAAATGCATTATGGAATTTTGCGTTTGGCATCGATCCTGTTTTTTGGTAAGATTTCGTTTTCGAACATTTTATGTTTTATTGAAGTTAAAGGCAAACAAAAAAATAATAATAAATTGTATTTTCTTCCAGCATCCTGTGATGTCGGTTTTGCTGTGTACGCCCGCTTCGTGGACGATTATCCGTCCGTTTCATTTATAGCCCATCTCACGGGTGCCCTGGCTGGCCTTACCATTGGTCTGTTGGTCCTTAAGAATTTCGAACAGAAATTACACGAACAACTGCTGTGGTGGATTGTGTTGGGCATTTATGCGGCCTGCATCATTTTTGCCATCATCTTCAATCTACTCAACAGCACGGTGATTCTTCGATTGCGGGGACAACCCCTTTATGCCACCGAGACGGTGTACAATCATTTTCAAGTCTGATATTTACTTTTGACTGTCAGTGTTGTTGTGCTGGTACTGGGACTACGACAATTACTGCTCCACAAATGGGCTATTAACTATCAAAACATAACAGACATACATATTTATTATTTATTTATAGAGAGTTACAGTCGTTTTGTCGTTTGTTTATCTTTTTGTTGACGTTTATTGTTTTAGTTTGATATTATTAACTCTATTTTCAGTTTTTTTTTGCAAAGTGAAATGAATTCAATTAATAACTTTAATTTAATTTATTTGTTGTTTTTTTTTCTTTCTCTCGCTCGCAGAGATTTGAAATGTTGCTCTTTTTCATTTATTTATGCCAGCAGGAAACTCTAACGAAAACGTTTTGACATATATATTTAGTTATATATGTGCGTATGTATATAAACAAAAACGAAATGAAATTATATTGCATTTACAGCGAACTACACCATTTCCAAATGAAATATATATTTTATTAACGAAAAGAAAATAATATAGAAATATTTTTATTTTGGAATTACAGCCCCTAACTGCCGTAGATGAATTTCTGAAATTTAGTTTGTATCGATTTGTATATCATCAGCTCTATGTTAATCCTTAAAATTTAAGTATTTAAAACTGAATTTAATTTATGTAAATATTTACTTATTATACAAATTATAAAAAACATAAATAAATAAAAATAATTTAAGAACAATAAATATTAAGACTTTTTTGGTGGGCAAGGGAATAATGGAGTGTAAAAGGTAAGTTGATTATAATATCCATGACCACACTGGCAAAAGGAAACGAGATAGACCCAAGGTTCCTTCCCAACCAAGCTCCGAAAGTTTCCGGCGAGTCCCTGTACATGTGTGTGGCTTAGCGTTGTCCTGTTGAAACACGACAGTATCGGAACCATAAACACCATTCACAATTTTAGCCGCTTGGATTACATTTTCGCCTTTGTAAAATAAAAACTGTAAAATGTACCGAATTTTCTCTTTGTTCACTTCCATTTTTAACACCCTGTAACTCACAATTGAATGCACCAAACAAAAACAGCAAAATATTTTTTTTACTTCGAAATGTCACCCTTCCAACGAGCATAAATCTGAAATTGTTTGATCGATACTTTACGAGAAATCTATCTGTACAGCCATCTGCCGAAAAAGTAATGGATTTATTTTCCCCTACCAATACATTGTCTCAGGTGTATGCCCTGGGATATACAATATTAAAATATCGATTTTCACAAATTATTAAAACGACAAAAAAGCTGGTCAATAATTATAACACACCAATATTATGAAAAATAAAAAAAATCGAAAATGGATAATAAATTTTCACTGACTCACTCACACCTATGTACTACCACGACATTTCAATGGAGGAAACTTAGGCAAGTATCATAGCCATCCATAACTATCACCGTAACAGGGAATACACGAAACTTGGCTTTGCAGTATTACAAGCGTATCTGCTGCTACCTTTACTGTCAATATTTACACAAATTTTGAATGACTGTTAAATTGGCTTCTTCACATTTCTGCTTTGCAAACAGAGAGTGAAAAAAAAAACGTCAATTGGATTTGTTACAGAAACAAATAAAAAATCGCCAAATGTTGGTGTTTGCGTGATTCTCAAACATATTTCAACCAAAAATCCCATTCAAGGTGAATGACAGTCGGCCATGGCGATGAGTGTACGAATGGCAAACATAAAACATGCCGAAATAAAGCCATTAGACTAGAAACACCAATCAAACCTTTGCGAAAACATAACATAATACCAAGTCCTTTAATCTCCAAACAGAAAAATTGTTTCAAGGGTCGACAGCAAAAAAAAGCGCAGAGTTCATGACATTGATTAATGCAGTGAAATGTATATTTAAGGGTTGTTCGTTTTTCTTTTTCACCAGCGCCAACACTTTTTTCACGCTTCGCTGTTGGTTTTTGGTGTAAAAAAGTTACTAAATTAAAGCCATCGTTTTTATGCCATATATACGCATGTGTATGTATAGATGTTAGTTTTTATGTTATAGTAGTTAAAGGTTTAAAAAGCAGGCATTTTTATTAGTTGTTCTTAATAATGCACAGATTTTTATGATATATCTCAATTATATTGATTAAAGTTTTTTATATAATCAGTTTTGTGGCTGCAGAGGTCATTCGGCCCATCAATAGTCTATATTATTTTTTGGGCTTTTTAATATAATTCTGAAGAAAAAAAGGCTGCCAATACCCATTTCTCTGGCTGATAAGCGTATTTAAATTGATATAACATATGCGTTAGGCTGTATCAAATTCTACATAAAACGTTGCTTTTACGACAAATCGTTGTGGTTTTAATCGATAATTTTGCACAAAATAGGGCAATAAATCCTTCATTTCATCAACTTTTATTGTGTTTTTTTTTTCTAAATCCCAAAACCTTAAATTTCCGAATCTGACCTTCTAAATTTGTATCTCGCTTCCTTCGGATGATAGTAGTAGTAGAATCTAAAGTTGCTACTTTGAGTACGGAATTTATAATTTAATATGTCCGGTATTCCACGGTCGATAGAGAAACGGGACTAGTACTTCACGAGAAACCACAATATTAAATTATAGCCAATTCTGTTGAAAAACGTGCCCAAAAGCTTTACAATTCTGAAAATCTGGGGTATGGTTGTATGAGTGCTATATGCGCATTTTAATAGGGCCTGTTTTTGGATCCACCAGTAATTTGCTACATATATAGATGGAAAGGCGGACATGCATAAATCGGCGCAGAAATTGATTGAAAATCACTTAACACAAATTAAGTTAAGCAAATACATTTGCTTTGTGTGGGCTCTATGTGAAAATAAGAACATTAATTTAAGAAAAAACATTTAAGGATCGGAGAAATCTCCGCTGAGAAAATGAAATAAGAAATTACAGACTCTTAGATTTAAAGATTTGGCAAGGACATAAAAAATGTGTTCCAACCCTCCAAGAACACGTATTACGAATTCCAAACATCCTAAGAGTATGAGCAAAAATTTAAAACTCTGTCAAGAATATATACATATGTATATGGGCAATATTGCCAATTTTTTAATATTCCATTTTCAAAAAATCAGCTTTTTTGTTTTTGTGACACATCAATGATTTTTGGTACACATATAGAGAAAAATGTTCTGACTTCGAAACCGTTCGCGATCAAATTTTTGGTTGATGCGCGCAAAAGTTATCGAGGTTTTAATTTTGGGCATAAGAAAAAAATCTTAATATTACGCCGTTTATTATATTGACCAAAAACGTTGATATATATCTTCCTCCGTAAAGTAAGAATATGAATATATTATAATAATCGCGATAAAGTTGCACATCTTCACGAAATATGAGAAAAATTATAAAAATATAGGAGATTACGTCAATATATTCATTATATTAATGACATACACACACCTAAAAATTTATATAAAAATATCTACATAATCTAAACACCATGATGAATCAAATCAAGAGATGAATGAAATCACACAAGTCCGTGTAGCGGTTTGTAAATCAGAGCGACAACAAATCAAGATATTAAGGAAAAATATTTGTTTTTGGTTCGAAAAAAATGTCATCATATTTATTTTTTTAATTTTATACAAGAAATTTCAGAAAAAAAATGTTGGGGTTATTCTGCTATTTTACCCGAATTTTGCCGAAAAATTTAAATATTTAAAAATAATCACATTTGGTGTATAAGTGGATTGCAGCAAGACCTTTCCGATAAATCTTGGGGTTCTATAAATAGGAATAAATCTTAAAATAAAATAATATTATGAAATAAACACTTTAAATTGCGTCTAAATCGTGTAATTATCAAAATCATTTGATGCGCATGCGGTTTCCAGTTTTTATCTTCCAATCCATATATATTTTGCAGGAAGTACTGAAGTTTAAAAAAATACTTATACCATTTCATCCATGTATATTTTTTTGCGAAATTTCAAAATCATTTGACGCATGCGGTTTCGAAAGTACTGTGTTTATCCACATATATATTTTGCGTTTCATTGACACGTTACATTGAAGTACCCAAAAATCATAAAACGCGAATAATTTCCGAAAACTCCATATGCCATTAACGCGCATCCGATTTCGGTGTGCACCCTAAAAAAATACATCGATCTATATCATTTCAATGTGGTCCATTAAGAACCATGGATGTGCCGGCACAATCTATTTTTGAGATAAATTGCGTACATCTCTCTTTCGGCTGAAGTTTTTAAAGTTCTCTTTTCGAAAAAGATCAAAATCCGTATGAGATCATTTATTGAAGCGGAAATGATACACAGAAAACGCAAATAAATCCGCGATATTTTCAAAAACATTTTTTGCCAAATTTCGTGTTTTTGGAAGGCCAGTTCCCGCCGTTCTAGTAGACGGATTTTTACGAAGAAGATTTTATATCATCCGAAACGTAAAAAACCTTATTGATCGCGGGTACCCATATCATTAAGTTGACAGATCTAAAAATTTGGTCGGAAAAATAGGTTTTTTGGAAATTTGATCGCACAAAATTCGCACCTTCGGATGAGTATTACTCTGAAGCTGTGCATACTACATACACAAAATACATATCAAATTACGCAGATTCGCGACTACAATAATCTTATAATCGATTTTTAGAAATTCCTGTATGCGTATTAAAGCTAGAAGTAAAATTAAAAAAACACTCAAAATCGAGCTTCAAAATGTCAGCATCATTTAAAGGCAGATGCAGTTAAATTTTTGAAAAATGATACATAAGGGGCGTATTCCCCATTTTGTTGGCTTGTAGTTTTACTTTGACACGAAGACCGTGAAATGAGTGGCTTAGTCACAAATCGATAGAGAACAGAAAAAACTGGTTCGCCTCAACCTGTTTTTACACATTTTTTTACATTAAGGGGACCCCTCCATTCTCGGGATCAAATTTTTTTTGATTTAATTCGATTCTACACTAATTCAAGAATGTCTCTACAAAATTTCAAGTGAAAATCTTAAGAACTCTTGAAGATATAGCGGATTTATTGTGTCAGCATCAAATGACAAACTTTAAACGCGTTTTTCTCTTTTGCG